CAGGAAGCTTTGAAGAGGAAAGCTGCACGTTGTGCCTTAGATGTTAGCAATGATTTGGAACACTTCTGCATTAATAGTTTTGAAAGATATTTGATGTAAATGTTTTTTTAGAACGTCTATGGGCTGAATAGGAATGTTATTTCTAAGAGAGCAATCTATACACAGACATGTCCTCCAAAGTTTAAAAGAGAAATTGTATCTGCAGCTGGATTGTCTTTGTGCAAACAAGCAGAAGGGAAAAAATATATTAAATTTATTAAAACCCTACCAGGTTGATGTATGCTGTACCAGCGTCTGTCTGTCCGTCCCAGGAACTCAGCCAGCAATGTATATACGCAGGTTACACTACACAAGCACGATTCGTTGTGTGACAGAGTCAACTACGCAAGCAAACGAGTCTGCTACGCTCATCTGCTCAGCAGACCTTCCTTCACACTTCGTGACAACAAATCCTCTCTCATCAGGTGTCCATCAAATCCTCTCCCATCAGGGGACCACCAAATTCTCTCCATTAGGTGACCAACAAATTCTCTCCCATTAGGTGATCACCAGATCCTCTTCCATCACCAAATGGGACCACCAAATTCTCCCTATTAGGTGACCACCAAATTCTCTCCCATTAGGTGACCACCAAATTCTCCCCATCACAGGATGACAAAATCCCCTCCCATCAGGTGACCACCAAATTCTCCCTATTAGAGGACCATCAAATCACCTCCCATCAGGTGACCACCAAATTCTCCCTATTAGGTGACCACCAAATTCTCTCCCATTAGGTGACCACCAAATTCTCCCCATCACAGGATGACAAAATCCCCTCCCATCAGGTGACCACCAAATTCTCCCTATTAGAGGACCATCAAATCACCTCCCATCAGGTGACCACCAAATTCTCCCTATTAGGTGACCACCAAATCCTCTCCCATCACAGGGCCACCAAATTCTCCCCACCAGGGGACCACCAAATCCTCTCCCATCAGGGGACCACCACACCAACCCACTGCCTCTTCCCCCATGGACAGTAAAAAGTCTCCAGCTGGATAAAACACTCATTGGTTTTAACACTTTTCATCTTCCCAAAGAGTGCTCCAACTTGGGGCTTCCTGCATGTCCCGCTCAGCTCAGAGATGTTCTCCCTCACTGCACAGCACTCAAAGCAAATGACTTCTTGCATTTTAGTTTATTTTAATTACACGCAAAAGTATCTCCCACTAAGAAAATGAGCTACAGTTCTACCGAGCAATTTCACCAGCGCAATCTCCATTAAGGTCCTAAATACTTCCTTTGCTAATTAAACGAATTGGAACGCTATTGTTTATGAATCACCTTTCTATTTGTAGAGCCGTAACCTTTCGTTGGGAAAATACAATTGGCTCTGGAAGGAAAAGATATTTAGGTTTGATTAGATATGAAAACACTTATTACATAAAATCAGTTTGGACATTTCTTCACGTTTTGAAACTTGATCGGTAATTTGGTCTAATTGGTGATCAAGGAAACTATCTTGTGATCAATTAAAGTAATTACCACATTCCGGCAACACAACCAACTTTAATTTGAGCAGGAGTCTGCACTTCTTCAACTTTAATTAAAAATAATGAAAATTATTAAGCAGTCTGCAGTGCAAGATCATTGTCAAGACTGCAGCGGTGGGCAGAGTTTATCAGACCATCACACATTGCTTGATGAAAGTGGGACAAGTCCTTTACTCACGACGTTAAGACCCAGCACAAGCTTGACTTTATATTAATAACAGAGCTCTGCAGCCCCTCAGCCCTTAACAAGAACTTTTTTCAGATTTTCCCTTGAATAATAAAAAGAGGGGAGAAAGAAAGGATTTTCTAGAAGCCATACAGAAGTATTAAAAGAGACTTTGATGTATAAAATATAAAGTATTTGGATTTTTCAGTAACAGGCACACCAGGCAGACATTTTCAACCTAATCCTTTGAGGACATTTGGGCTAAAAGAACATCCAGATTACTCTAAATAAGGACATCACGTCACCCATGTCACGGCAAACTGCAGTGTCCCTGTACTGAACCATGAAGAGCAACAGAAGGAGGAATCCTGCACAGAGAAGGAGATGCTGTTAAGTGTACCAGTACGTCTCTCCCCTTCGTGTCTTTTAAGATGATGAAAGAAGGAACTAAAACCTAATTGTGTTTCAGTCGTAACATCACTTCTAAAATGGTTTTTAAATACTAACAGCCATAGCATGTCTCCACGAGATAAAAATCAGGGCTACTCAGAGAAGAACAGGGTAACCTAATAAAGTGAAAAAACAAAACAAAACAAAAAAAAAAAAACCCACATTCCCTCCCTCAAAAAAACCCAAACCCCAACAAAAAAAACAAACATGAACCAAAAATCCAAACCTTTAAAAAATTCAGCTATCATATAATGTTTCAGGATTGGCCAAACTGCTTTAAAAGTGACAAAATACACTATCACAAAATCAGACTTAATGTGACTTTCTTTTTTTTTTGCCTGAGAATGGGAAAACCAGGGCCAGACATTTTGCTGTCAGAAGTGGGAGGAAAGATGAAATTCCATCCGCCCTTCTGCACCGCACAACACTTCCCGGCTCCAGGAGAACTGTGGGATCCCGGAGTTAATCTGCTATTATTCTTCCTTTCACACTTCTTAAGCGAGGAATCAATTCATCTTAATACTTTTTAAACATGCTGCTTTTGTACAATGCTTGCCAACATTATCTTGATGAGTTATAACATCAAAGGAACACAGGTCGATATGTCGGGCTAATACATCACCCACCCGCGCGTCCCCAGTGATGGATTACCCCCATGCATCTCCAGAACAAAGCAGCTGACAGCACTTGACTCAAAAGTGGAGATATTTAAGAAAAACAGCTGAAAGGTTCAACAATACAACCACACACACTTTTTTATTTATTTGTTTTAAAATGAGTAGGCAATGAAATGTGTGCTTGGGCTTCTTAAATCTTTTGGATCTTCCTCAGCCAAGGAAACCATCCGCTAATCACGAGTACGTTAAGGTTTCTGCCTCCCATCTGTCATTCTAACGCTGGAGGTAGCATTAACCTTGACCTTCTGCAGTGCCAGGGCTACCTGTCTTCCCTTCCCCACCCACCCGGGCTGCATCTGTATCATTTATCAGTGGGGAAATGAATAAATAAAACAAGTTATAGTGACATTGTCATACCCACGCCTCACACATTTGCCTCCCCTTCACCCCAGTAAAAAATAACCCAGAACATTGCACGTGTTCTCCTCAGCAGTTTGACACTTGTAACAACAATAAACCCCGATCATTAAGGTTCACTTCCAAACTGCAGAAGCTTTGACACGTCCAGCTGACGTTACTACCTAACAGTGAGCCACAGGCCAGCAGATAAAAGGAAAAAGCTCTTTAAAGTCAAGTTATTTTAAGTTATGTTTAGCCCGACACGAGGGTTTGACTTCATCTCTTGACATTTTCTGTTGTGCTCTCAAGAAAAATGCAGCGTTTGTTTTATTTTAATTCTATTTATTCCATTAAGACTTTTACCTTACAAACGTGCAAAAAATCATCTCACAAAGCCACACTCTTCATCTGAAAGTGACAACGTGGTTAAAACACACACACACACACACACAAAAAAAAAAAAAAGAGGAATTCAACTAGTATTGAGGAAGGTGATGGCAGCCCAGGACAGGTA